CGTAATATAAGAAAACATATAAAAATCTACTTATATTTGAAAAAACAAAATTTTTTTGACATATCAATGCTCCCAAGCGTTGATGCTTCTTCCTGTATTCTTCTGCCATGATTCCAACCTTAGATTCGAAAGGGCCGAATTTATAAACCCTTCCCCTTGGGAAAACCTAACTTAAGGACAATAGGGATATTCTTAAGGTGAGAGTACATAAAAGGCTTTCCTGAGCGATTTAAGTCTTCTCGCTGGCTTCTTCGTAAAGAAACAATAGAGTTTTAGGTTGACTTAGTTCAATTTTGATCCATTGCTCCTTTGTTCTTTTTCGAAGAAGTCAGTCGATGACTTAATTTGAATGTTATGTTATCTGGAATACAGTTGATTTTATTGGAAATTGGGGAAGAAATCTCCAAGCTTCTATATCTATATCAGTATGTACCATGATAGAAGAATATAGAAAAACGCATGTGCACAGCTGCTGGGACAATGAACTGTGAAACCAATTTTTAAATTAAAAATGTTGAATGAAAAATTATTTAAATTTGTAAAAATTTTTGAAAAACGTGAATTCTAATAACCTCTGAATGTCATTGTATAAGAAAACATATAAAAATCTACTTATATTTGAAAAACATTTAAAATTTTTTGATATATCGATGTTCCCAAGCGTTGAAGCATCTACCTGTATTCTTCTACCATGGTATTATGTACATTCCAAACATTCTGGGCATTAAATATATGCCAATGCAAAATATCGAAGCTCTTCGCTGATTTCAACAGCTGGACATGGCTATATCGACATAACATTTTACGATTATAATGATAATTCAAAAAATATTCTATCAAATTCACAGCTGCAACCAAGATTACGCTTAACCAAAATTCATCATTATTCATCAAAAATCCAGAATTATAGGTCTGAAGATGCCTCAAAAAGTAACCACGATGATAGGCCTAACGATGACCCCAAAATTACTTGTATTTACAGGCCTGACAATGCTTCGAAAAATATTCTTAAATTTCTACAATTATAGGTCATATACTGCCTCAAATCTACCTACGTTTATAGGTCTAATGATCCCTTAAAAATTTTCTTATAAATCCAAAATTAAACAATTAATTTCATTGTATTACAATTGGAAAATAATTACAAGGGTCGTAATTGTTGAATTAAAGCACTTGCAGTAGACCTTATGGTATGCCAGCTAAGTATTTTACATTATAAATGAAAAATATGTCTGTATGTAGTTGTAGATGTATAGTTTGTGAATGAGTGTTATTATATTGGCGCTTATATGGCTTCATGTTTTTTTCATAACTGGTTAATTACACCGTTTGTAAAAAATAGTTAGTAGTTTGAAATTATTTTAGAAAAGCTGCTAGATTTTGAAATTTGGCTTGAATGGGATTTAATAATAGACAATATTCATATTACAAAAAGTTGGCAATAATAACGAAACATAGAAAAATGCAATTTAAATTCTTCCTTAACTCTCTTTTAATTTTTCCTTATCTCTTTTTTTGTGTATTGCTTACCTCTAATGCGGTGGGTCCTTGTCAGCCTTTCTCGGTATACAGGGGACTTGTCAATGCCCATTTATTAGATCGTGTAGAGGGCGAATTGCCTATAAAAAACTGATTTACTCTCCGAACTGTCAAAATTTATTTTGAAGCGAAAAATATTTCGCCTTCGTTGTTCTTCTTTTTGTGACGAATTGCAAACAAACATAAACACAGCAACATTTTTATTTCCCAAAAGCAATAATTGTATTTTTGTTATGTTGTTAGTTTATTTTTATTTTATTATTTATTAGATATTTAAAACCTATATCACTCCGTGGAACAGGGTATTATGTGCATTTGTTTGTAAAATTTTAAAATCGAATCAGAACCAGTTAACAAGGACAGGGCAAGTTAAATATGCAAATTGTTGGTGTCCTGTTTACACATCATAAATTTATTCAATGAACTAGATATACGGACCATTCCTACCTGTTATTTAACGAATAGCTTAAGACCCTCAATTGTTGCAATGGGCATGAGCCTACATTGCTTGCCGGATTTAATAATGCCACTCATTTTAAAGTGATCTGAAAACACCAACGATGTGAGCGTAAGTTTTACCTGACAATTTGTGCTCCGTTTGTCTTTTGTGTCTATCTTTTGGAACGGAGAAAAAATTTACATTTCCATTCAAACTATTTTTTGCAAACCTTGCAAACTTTCATTTTTACTTGTAATATTTTAAAATCACGAGAAGGCAATTGTGCAGTATTAGAAAATCAAATTTGAATTGTGTATACCAATATTCTCAACATAACTGTAAAAATTCTTTGATGACAGTTTGTCATATTTTGCAGCGAATTTCAGATATAAACAAATGTATTTTAACAGAATGGGTGAAATCAGAAAATCAAAATGTCTCTTCGATACTCGATAAATTTGAAAATTTTACTGATTAACTTTTCTCAGTAATGCTATGTTCTCATTACACTTTCAATCACGTTGTTCGCTCTCAGAATTATGAACACGAATTAACCGTTCATACGGCACGATTGTAATTCATAGTAAAATAATTCCTGTTTTCAAAAATTTTGTTTGTTGATTTTAATGGGAATTTATAGGAAAATACATGAAATTATCACTAATATGAATAGAAGAAATTATTGTTTTTCTCCCACGTTTTCAACTTTTTGTGTAAATGTTGACATTTTGAACGTATTTTTGTATTTTTACTATTTTTAAATTTTGCTGGAGAGACACTTGACAAACATTTTTTCTGCCGATACAAACATTTTGAAAATATTGCCTCTTTTGTTTGCAGTTTTCTGCGGAAATTTTAACTCGTGGACAAAATGCGTACCTCGAATAAGAGAGAAAAGAAAATGTTCTTTCGTTTGAATGTACATACGCCATTCAACATTGTAGTTTTCACTCTTCCCAAAAATTTTTAAAATTTCATTAAATTTTTTTAGTTTTAATTTTTAAATGTCACAATTTATTTTTTCGATAAATGCTCTCATTTGTTAGGGATGTGACATATTTTTTCTTTGTTCGGAGAGTGATTTGATTTGAACAATGTACAAATATGAGTGTTCGCTCAGGAAATTTTGTGTGAAGAATTAGCTAGTTTTTTCAAACAACGAATAGAGATCGGATCTAGTGCAGTGGAAACGCCACATAAGAGTTTGTAAACTCTCAGTAACTCAGTAATGTAAATTGTGTTGCTCAATTATTGGACTTTGGATAATCGAACATTTTGTAACAATGTGTAGGAATTAGTTCAAAATATTGGATTATCGTAAAAACCTAATGTCAAAATTGAATCTATCCATGGTATAATGAAAAGATAAGGTAGAGTTACCAGCTAATTACAATTTTTTTCTAGGTGTGCCCGACTCCTACCATTTGTGTATGTATTTATGGTTTAGATTTTTTTTTCAAAATCAATAATTCTAAGCAAAGTACATTGCGGGCGCGTATTAAAAATACAGGGTGAGATAAAAAAACTGCAACAAAGTCAAACGCCATAATTTTTATTTTTTTTTTAATTTTATTGAAAGAAAGTATTGAAAGATAGCATAAAATTTTAAAATAAGTATAGATTTGTTCGACTTGGCCACCTTTGTCACGAATTATGGCCTTCAAACGGCCAATGAAACCGTCACATGCTGCCCGAATGTTGCTCTGCGGTATTTTGGCCCCCTCCCGGCGAAGCGCTTGCTTGAGGTGATCGACCCTTGGTATTTCTTTAGTGCCAACCTTGCTTTCCAAAATAATCCAGACACAATAGTCCAAGGGATTGGTATCCGAAGATTTTGGTGGCCATTCTGCGCTGGAAATGAAGCGAGGTACCTCATTTTGTAACCATTCTTGGGTGGTGCGTGCTGAGTGCGATGGTGCTGAGTCCTGTTGGAAAGTCCAAGGTCTGCGGCCAAAATGTTTGCGTGCCCAAGGCTCTTTTGTGTATATTTTCTTTCCATTGCGGTGTAAGTTCTTGCACTTTTTGGAATTTCAATGGCTTTACCCCGAGCTCATTTTTCAATATTTGCCGAATGGAGTATTGCGATATGTTCAGTTCACGAACCTACTTTTCGAACCATTTCTGCTTATGTTGCTCTTATCTTCCGTCCACTTCTTTGACGTCGGGCTACGCTTGCAGGATCACGGTAACGAGCGATGGTACGAGAAACAAAAGATTTATTCACATTTAAATGCCGGAGTGCTCTAACGATAGCCACTTGTGGTTTTTCAGACAAATATAAATAAATCACACTATCACACTTGAATTCCATCACAAATAACTTTTTTTTCCGAAAAATGTTTTTTGTGCGCTTGTAAACAATAGCTGTCGGATGAGCGGCTTAGAAATGACAGCAGTCTGAAGTTGGTTGCAGTTTCTTCATCTCACCCTTTATATTCAACGGTACACTGGCTGTATACAAATTGTTAGTTTTTAAAATATTACTCAAGGACTTCATAACACAAAATATTGGTTTTTAATTATAAATGCCTGCCAAGAAAAAAGTATTTTTTAAAAATATTTTTCAAGCGCTTTAGTTAAAAAAAGGTGTATTTTTTAAATAATTTAATTTATTTTAAAAAATAATCATAAAACTACTTTCATGGACTTTCCTATTATATAAATCAGTACTTGATTCCGTCGATAAACAGAATTCCCACGCACTGCTCTAGTGTAAGATAACAATGAACTTTGATTAATTTTTGAGTGTACAATTGATGTTAATGCTCGACTAAGACCCACCAATTGCCACAATGACATTATTATTGTTGTGTTGTTGTTTCGGTAGTACAATATTTGAAATGTAAATTCTATTATATTAAATTCCGAATATTAAAATCTAAGATAAACGTTGTTGTAGAAGCTTCTTCCAGACATATCATTAACATCATCATCATCATCATTATTTGACAGATAACCAAAGTTTCTTTGGCTGGCTGCTACCAAGTCAGTTTGTTGACACACGCCGAAGAAGAAGACCACCTAAGCCATACAAATAATAGACAACACATATACATATGTATATGTACGTTAAAACATTATAACATTCGTATATTATTCAGTTTACACCACAAGATGCAAACATAACGTTCTTGGCTGTCGTCCGGTGAAGACTGCAATAAACGTGTCGTCTGCAATAGTACAAATCTAAAAGTAACAACAAGAAAAGTACAACAAAAAATAACCACAATATCGTAACATAATCGTTTTATTGTTTTTGACGCTGTTAAATTGAAGTGGAACGCGAACAAGTGCATTTTAAGGACAATATGTCGGAAAAAATTAATACGGTCAATGCAAACGGGGTAAATCTAAGTATACCACCACTTAAGGTGGCCATCATTGGCGGAGGTCTAGTAAGTTGGAAGTGTTTAATTTTTTTTAAAAATTAAAAACAGTTAAGTGTGTGTGTATAAAAAAATTGAGAGTGTAGCAAGGCTGATTTTAAATTTAATGGGATACTAAAAGAAAAGTGCATACGGGAAGAATTATAAGTCACAGTGAAGTTATTTTTTCAGTCACAGCGGATTGTTTTGTCCAACAGGAAAAAATTATCTGCACTACAAAAATCCTCAATCAATGTGGACCGAGTTTTTCGATAAGGATTAAATTTTGTTCTTATAGGAAAGTAATTCTAATTTGCCGAGTATTAATTTTCTTCAAGGATATATGGAAGGGGAGGAGGATATTAAAATAAAGATACGCCTCGATTTTACTGGACTACAAAAAATCCTTAATTAACGTGGACCGATTTTTTCTATAAGTATTAAATTTATTCAAGGATATAGAGAGGAGGAGGATATAAGATTTCCACTGATTTAAGATATTTGAGAGCTTACTGGCCGTATTTTCCAAAACAAAAAAAAAAGTATCAGAATGGAAAGCATTAAATTGGCAGGAAAAAACTAAAAACATGATTTTCAATTCTAAGATATGAATTTCGAATGTAAATTTGTTAAAAATTATTAAATCTAGATGCAGGGTGGGATAAAAAATGCAACAAAGTCGAACACCATAATTTTTACATTTTTTTAATTTTATTGAATGAAAGCAAAAAATGTCGGAAATAGCAACAAATTTTAGAACAACTTTAGATTTGTTTGAATTGGTCACGTTTGACACGAATTACGGTTTTCAAACGGCCAATGAAACCATTACACGCTGCCCGAATGTTGCTCTGCGGTATTTTGGCTCATGCCCGGCGAAGCGCTTGCTTGAGGTGATCGACACTTTGGTATTTTTTAGTGCCAAACTTGCTTTCCAAAATAATCCAGATACAATAGTCCAACCATTTGTGGCCATTTGCGCTGGAAATGAAGCAAGTAACCTCATTATGTAACCATTCTTGGGTGGCGTGTGCTGAGTGCGATGGTGCTGAGTCCTGTTGGAATGTCCAAGGTCTTCAGCCAAAATGTTTACACACTCCAGAATATTTTCGCGATAATATTCTGCATTTATTCTGAGCGACCATCGGCTGTTATCGCGGCCCACACCATCACCATGGCCGGCGCTTGAGTTCTGGTGGGCAACCGAAGGCACACATTTTCAGCTGACCTCTTTGGCAAGTGAACACAATCATTTTGTTTGTTTACAAACTGCTGGACAACGAATTACCTTAGATAGAGAAAGAGAACCAGTATGAGTATACCACTCATCTTTCACAAATCCTAAAGTTCACACGCGTGCCTAGCTATCGCACATGTTTCGCACATTTTATCATGATTATCATTTGCAGGCTAAATTACATTCCGTAATCTAACTCAGACACCACATAAATATGGACATGGAAAATCTTATCGCTTTTCTTGTAAGAAAAATATATGCTCGCTTTATCTCATCAAAAAAGATCGACGCTACATTCGTTTCTACCAAAAACGTGTTCACAACGTCAACATGTTGGCGGTTTATGGGAATGGTAGAAAATTAGGTCAGTAAACCTAATTTAAAATCATATTTTATACTGGCGAATATATTAGGATGTGAAAAAAAACGGCTACTGTTTGGGCAATTTATGTAAGTTTTTAAACAAATTGTTTACCTGGCGTTTACACAAAATAAATTGTCTTTAATAAGTGTTGTATTTGGCCACTACATATAAATCAGTCCGTTTGTCACTAAACATATGAAGGTATGAATACATAAAAGGCTTTTTTGATTAGCTCACTTCATCGGCTTTTTCATTAAAGAACAGAGGGTCGAAATTGAACTAAGTCAACCTAAAACGCCTTTGTTCTTTTACGAAGAAGCCAGTCTATGACTTATGCCAGTAAAAAAAGCATTTAATGTGTTCTCACCTTAGCATTGTTATTCTCGCATAAATTATCGACTGACTTTCTAGTTCTAATTATGTGCCGAATTTAAACTAGTCCATCTTGGGTGGGAAAAAGAAAAATCGTGCTTCAATTTTTGGAAATTTGTATTTAAAGAGAAAAAAAAGAACAAGTTACCAAGCGTTCGGTGAGGCTTTAACTGTAAAGTTTTAAGTTTTCAGTTCGTCATTTAGGTCTAAAGGTCAGGATACATATTTTAAGGTTTATTTAGTTCACTTTCGGTCCATACGTTATAAATGCAATGTTAAAGGCACTATCAGACGATATGTTTTTTACATATGTAGTGTCACATTTTTCATACGTAGAAGGTGCACACATCGTGTGTTACGTGGACGGCATTTAAGTTATGAAATACAAGGTGTTCCTGGAATATTAAAAACCAGATACAAACACCAAAATTTTGTTTACATTTTGTTGGCAATTTAACTATCTTTTGGTCAGGGATCTCAATCACAATAATGCATTTTGACATTACATTTGGTAGTCAGCTGATTTGGCAACAGGACCTTATACCGAATATCGGGAGGTACCCTTATATGGGGGGCTATACGAAGACGTGGACCTGCACAGACAATTTTCTGTCTTAGGCTGAAGTATCCATTACGAACTTCAAATACCAAATTTGAAACAATTTCGGTGAAAAATGTCGCAAAAATCATCAAAATACCAAATATCGCGAGGTACCGTTATATTGGGTCTATGCGATGACGTGGACCTGCTCAGACAATTTTTTGTCTTAGGCTGCAGTATCCATTACGAACTTCAAATACCAAATTTCAAACATTTCCGTTGAATAATGTCGCATAAATCACCAAAATACCGAAATTACGGGGGTACCATTATATGGTGGCTATACCAAAACGTGGCCCATTTTCAATAACAAAAGTCCTGCAGACATAATATATATTTGAGTAAAATTTTATCAACCTACTTCATTTTGTTCAGAAACTAGGGTTATTTCCACAGACGGACGGATACCGCTAAATCGACATAGAATATTATGCTGATCAAGGGGTCTGAAATATATATTTCGAGGTGTTAGAAGTGGAATGGCAAACTTAATATACCCTCCTTACAATGGTGGAGGGTATCAAAGGGTATGATGAGTCACATGTAACAACAATTGTGACATACACAAGGAAATACATATGGATAATAATAGTGAAAGCGCATATGTAAATTTTTATATAAATATACAACGGATTTATAAAGATACATCCGGATCTGATATATGAATATGTAATGGATTTACAAATATACATTTTAACAATGAGATGTTGTCAAATGATGAGTATATGACTTTACCTTCTTAATTCTACCATTGGTTTAACCACCTTTAATAGGATTTATTTGACGTGTAAGCAATGAAATTGGCAATTCAAATTTGCTGGGTTTATTAAATCCGGTAAGATGTAAACATACTATAAGCATTCAATAAATATGCCCCTAAAAGTTGTGAACGACAAGTTTCCCAATTTTCTAGATCTATGGAAAACCATGCATTAATTATAATTCTGGAATGCAACTGTTGGATTGCCATGGCATAAATAAGTCATGCTTTTCCAAATACGCTTTTTTTACATTCTTTAAATAACCTACAAATGTTTTTATTATTGATTTCCTATCTCTCTTCTAGGTTGGTTCATTGGCCGCCTTGAATTTCGCTCGCAATGGACACAACGTTCATCTGTACGAGTATCGCGAAGACATACGTACATCAGAGTTGGTGCAGGGGCGTAGTATCAATTTGGCTTTGTCTGAGAGGGGTCGCAAAGCTCTGGCTGAAGTTGGTCTTGAAGATGAAGTTTTGAGTACGGCCATACCGATGCGAGGTCGTATGTTGCACGATGTTAAGGGGCAGACATCGGTGGTTCTATACGATCCCTGTACAAATCAATGTCTCTATTCGGTGGGACGTAAACATTTAAATGAAGTTCTATTAAATGGTGATTAAAACTGAAAAAAATTCAGATAGGAAAGATTCTACTGTTCTTTTTTCATTTACAGCTGGTGAAAAGTTCCCCAACATACAGTATCACTTTCGACACAAACTGAAATCGGCAAATCTGCAAGAGGGTTCAATGCGTTTCCAGTGGTAAGCTGCTTATCTCTTTTGTTGTCAGAAAATAAACGAAAGGCATGAAAAAAGCAATTTCCTTATCATTGTCTTTGCAGTGACTATGAGGAACAACAGCTGGAGGAAGCTACAGCTGATCTAATTGTTGGTTGTGATGGTGCCTTCAGTGCGGTACGCCAACAAATGTCCAAGACCTTGGGTTTTAATTTTTCGCAGGAGTATATTGAACATGGGTATTTGGAATTGTGTATACCCGCCAAGAATGATGAGTTCCAAATGCCACCAAACTATTTGCACATCTGGCCGAGAAATGAATTTATGATGATTGCTCTGCCGAATCAGGATAAATCTTTTACCGTTACTCTATCGATGCCATTCAAAGTGTTTGAGGGTATTCGAACGCCAAAAGAGCTATTGGAATTTTTTCACAGATATTATTCAGATGCTGTGCCATTGATTGGCGAGGAGTTGCTTATTAAGGATTTCTTTAAATCCAAACCTCAGTTTTTGTTGTCGATTAAGGTGAGTCAAGGGCCCAATCATGAATCGAATGTTATGAGTTTTAACAAAATTAAATTAAGGACAAGACATCTTATTCGAAGTTAAAATATTAGTAACAATTCTCGCAAATCGTTACTGTAAATCGTCTGTTAACACAGAAAAGCCTGCAAAAGCAAGCAGTTCGAGAGAGATTTCGACAGTTTTTTTATTGAGAGTTTGCAATTTTCTCGCTGGACAAATTTTGTTTTGCAATCACTTCTTTTCCTACCGGTGATGTACAGTGTGTCACACATTACTTTACACACTCAAAAAAATAATATTTTTCAATTTGTTTCTTAAAATTTCACCAATTTATGCATAGTACACTCTGTTCAAATCTTCCGACAATATTCGACTTTTCGAAAAATCTAGCTAATTTTTTTTCCAATTTTTGGATAAAACTATCGAAAATATTCATATTTTATTTCGAATTTTGGGACCAAACATACGAAATTTTTCCGAATTTGGGTTTAAAAATCCCAGAATTTTCAGAATTTCGGATCAAACATCCGACACATTTCCGAATTTCGTATCACACATCCTATATTTCTCCGATTTGCGTATGATTTTCGGATAAAACTATAGAACAAATTCTGATATTTTTCCGAATTTCGAATCTAACATCCGTAAATTTTGCCAAATTTGTAACAAACATACAAAAACGTTCCGAATTTTCCCTTTTATACCCTCCAACATAGTATGGAGGGTATATTAAGTTTGTCATTCCGTTTGTAACACCTTGAAGTATATATTTTAGAACCCATAAAGTATATATATATCCTTGATCATTTATATATTATTTCTGCAAGGGTGGTTTGGTATTGAAAATGGGCCATGTTGGACCACGTTTTGGTATAGCGCCCATAAACGCTATAAATTTTACATTTTTTTTAATTTTATTGAATGAAAGCAAATAGCATCAAATTTTAAAATAAGTTTTAGATTTGTTAGAATTGGTCACCTTTAGAACGAATTATGGCCTTTAAACGGCCAATGAAACCGTCACACGCTGCCCGAATGTTGATCTGCGGTACTTTGGCCCATTTCCGGCGAAGCGCTTGCTTGAAGTGATAAACACTTTGGTATTTTTTAGTGCCAACCTTGCTTTCCAAAATACTCCAGACACAATAGTCCAACGGATTGGTTTCCTGAGATTTTGGTGACCATTGCGCGCTGGAATTGAAGCGAGGAACCTTATCTTGTAACAATTCTTGGGTGGCGCGTGCTGAGTGCGATGTTGCTGAGTTGGAATGTCCAAGGTCTGCGGCCACAATGTTTGCATGCCCAAGGCTTTAATACACCCTCAGAATATTTTCGCGATAATATTCGGCATTTATTCTGAACGACCATCGGCTGTTATGACGGCCCACACCATCACCATGGCCGGCGCTTGAGTTCTGGTGGCCAACCGAAGGTACACATTTTCAGCTGACCTCTTTGGCAAGTAAACACGATAATTTTGTTTGTTTACTAACTGCTGGACAACGAATGTTTTCTCACCGGAGAAAAACAAATTCGGTAGCTGAAAACTTTCGGCCAAGCGAAGAAACTCTTTTGCTCTTTATAGTCTATTTTTTCTCTGTTGCACTTTTTGGAATTTCAATGGCTTTACCCTGAGTTCATTTTTCAATATTTGCCGAATGGAATATTGTGATATGTTCAGCTCACGAGCCATTTTTCGGCCACTGCGACGCGCGTTTCGATTAAGTCGCTTCTTTACTTTTCAAACCATTTCTGCTACGCTGCCAGTATCACGGTAACGAGTGATGATACGAGACCCAAAAGATATATTCACATTTAAATGCTGGAGTGTTCTAACGATAGTCACTTATGGTTTTCCAGCCAATAATAAAGAAATCGCACTATCGCGCTTGAATAACATCACGAATAACTTTTTTTCTGGAAAACTCGCAAAAAATGCTTTTGTACGCTTGTAAGCAATATAATGAGCTGTAACTGGAATATTTTTAACAGCAGTCGGAGGAGTGGCTTAGAAATGACAGCAGTCTTAAGTTGGTTGCAGTTTTTTTATCTCACCCTGTTGTGGCACCTCCCTATTTTCGGTATTTTAGTGATTTAAGTGCATTATTCACAGGAAAATAATATTTGAAGTTCCTAATAGATACTACAGCCTATGACAGAAAATTGTCCGTGCAGGTCCACACCTTGGTATAGCCCCCATAGAATGGCACCTCCCGATATTCGGTATTTTGATGATTTTAGCGACATTATTCACCGGAATTGTTTCAAGTTTGGTATTTGAAGTTCGTAATGTATATTACAGCCTATGACAGAAAATTGTCTGTGCAGGTCCGCGTGGTACCTCTCTATATTCGGTATTTTGATGATTTTAGCTACATTATTTACCGATTTTTTTTCAAGTTTCGCATTTGAATATTGTAATGGCTTATGACAAAATTTGCCTATTTTTACATAATTTTTAACGGATTTTATTTATTTATTTTATTAAATTTCCAAGTTCGTTCCAAATGGTGGAGGGTATTCAAAGTTCGTCCCGGTCGAGCTTAGCTGCTTTTTTACTTGTTTTCTTTTTTCTCTATCGAGAATTTATATATTTGAGAAGATAACAGTATGTCTACGCTCTTTGATGTTCTAGTGCTGTGTTTTCGTTTCCTTAACGCTATTCCAGCGCTGAGAATTTTTTCTTTTTTCGACTTTTAAAAAATAACAACTATCTTTTCTCTCTTATTTTCCAGTGCAATCCTTTCCATTTCGCTGACAAGGCTATACTACTGGGAGATGCCGCACATGCCATGGTACCATATTACGGACAAGGTATGAATGCTGGTATGGAAGACTGTACACTATTCTTTTCGATACTTCGTGAACCGCACATGACTATCGGCAAGGCTTTGGAAACATTTACCGAACGTCGTGTCAGCGATGCCCATGCCATTTGTGACCTTGCCATGTATAATTATGTTGAAATGAGAGATTTGACAAAACGATTCTCTTTTAAGTGTCGTAAAATGTTGGATACAACTCTGTTTCGTTTCTTCCCGAACTATTGGGTGCCACTCTACAATAGTGTCTCCTTTACCAGTATGCCGTATAGCAAGTGTATAGCTAACCGTCAGTGGCAGGATGAGGTGGGTGATATTTCAATTTTGAAATATTTCAGCAATAAATAATTATTATATTTTCTTTCTAGATTCTCAAGAAAATCATGTTCATAGTTTTGTCATCGGCAGTGTTATTTATAGGAGCTCTTTACATAGTTCATTGATTTGAAATTTATTTTTTATTTCGTAATATAGTTTTAAGTTTAAGTGTATTATCATTATTATATTTTAATAAAAAAGGATTTATACCATAAACAAGCTTTGATTTTACGGCAGGAAAGTGATGGACATTTCAAAGTATTTAATAATTCATGCCTAAAAACTAATCACAAATAATAGCTTAAAACCACCAAAGGTCAATATTTGAGGATATATGGCCATTTTAAAATATTGAATTCATGCTTAAAAAAGTGATCACAAATAATAGCTAAAAACGCCAAAAAGTCAATATTTAAGGAGTTATGCCCATTTAAAAATTTATATAATTCATGCTTAAAAAAGTGATCACAAATAATAGCTCAAAACGCCGAAAGGTCAATATTTAAGGAGCTATGGCCATTTTAAAGTATTGAATAATTCATGCTTAAAAAAGTAATCATAATAGCTAAAAACGCCGAAAAGTCAATATATAAGGAGTTATGGCCATTTTAAAGTACTGAATAACTCTGCTTAAAAACAAATAATTGCTAAAAACGCCGAAAAGTCAATATTTGAGGAGTTATGGCCATTTTAAAATGTGTAATAATTCACGCCCAAAAAAGTAATAACAAATAATAGCTAAAAACCCCGAAAAGTCAATATTTAAGGTGTTATGGCCATTTTAAAATATGTAATAATTCATGCTCAAAAAAGTGATCACAAATAATAGCAAAAAAACCCCGAAAAGTCAATATTTAAGGAGTTATGGCCATTTTAAAATATGTAATAATTCATGCCCAAAAAAGTGATCACAAATAATAGCAAAAAAACCCCGAAAAGTCAATATTTAAGGAGTTATGGCCATTTTAAAATATGTAATAATTCATGCTTAAAAAAGTGATCACAAATAATAGCTAAAAACGCCGAAAAGTCAATATTTAAGGAGTTATTGCCATTTTAAAATATGTAATTATTCATGCCCAAAAAAGTGATCACAAATAATAGCTAAAAACGCCGAAAAGTCAATATTTAAGAAGTTATCGCCATTTTAAAGTATTGAATAATTCACGCTTAAAAAAGGGATCACAAATAATAGCTAAAAACGTCGAAAAGTCAATATTTAAGGAGTTATGGCAATTTTAAAGTAATGAATAATTCATGCCCAAAAAAGTGATGACAAATAATAGCTAAAAACGCCGAAAAGTCAATATTTAAGGAGTTATTGCCATTTTAAAATATGTAATAATTCATGCTTAAAAAAGTGATCACAAATAATAGCTAAAAACGACGAAAAGTCAATATTTAAGGAGTTATGGCCATTTAAAAGTATTGAATAATTCATGCTTAAAAAAGTGATCACAAATAATAGCTAAAAAAAGTCAATATTTAAGGAGTTATGGCCATTTTAAAACATGTAACAATTCATGCTTAAAAAAGTGATCACAAATAATAGCTAAAAACGCCAAAAAGTGAATATTTAAAGAGTTATGGCCATTTTAAAATATGTAATAATTCATGTCCAAAAAAAGTGATCACAAATAATAGCTAAAAACGTCGAAAAGTCAATATTTAAGGAGTTATGGCCATTTTAAAATATGTAACTATTCATGCCCAAAAAAGTGATCACAAATAATAGCTAAAAACGCCGAAAAGTCAATATTTAAGGAGTTATGGCAATTTTAAAGTAATGAATAATTCATGCCCAAAAAAGTGATGACAAATAATAGCTAAAAACGCCGAAAAGTCAATATTTAAGGAGTTATTGCCATTTTAAAATATGTAATAATTCATGCTTAAAAAAGTGATCACAAATAATAGCTAAAAACGACGAAAAGTCAATATTTAAAGAGTTATGGCCATTTTAAAGTAATGAATAATTCATGCCCAAAAAAGTGATGACAAATAATAGCTAAAAACGCCGAAAAGTCAATATTTAAGGAGTTATTGCCATTTTGAAATATGTAATAATTCATGCTTAAAAAAGTGATCACAAATAATAGCTAAAAATGACGAAAAGTCAATATTTAAGAAGTTATGGCCATTTTAAAGTATTGAATAATTCATGCTTAAAAAGGTGATCACAAATAATAGCTAAAAACGCCGAAAAGTCAATATTTAAGGAGTTATGGGCATTTTAAAATATGTAATAATTCATGCCCAAAAAGTAATCACAAATAATAGCTAAAAACGCCGAAAAGTCAATATTTAAGGAGTTATTGCCATTTTAAAATATGTAATAATTCATGCTTAAAAAAGTTATCACAAATAATAGCTAAAAACGACGAAAAGTCAATATTTAAGGAGTTATGGCCATTTTAAAGTAATGAATAATTCATGCCCAAAAAAGTGATGACTAATAATAGCTAAAAACGCCGAAAAGTCAATATTTAAGGAGTTATTGCCATTTTAAAATATGTAATAATTCATGCTTAAAAAAGTGATCACAAATAATAGCTAAAAATGACGAAAAGTCGATATTTAAGAAGTTATGGCCATTTTAAAGTATTGAATAATTCATGCTTAAAAAGGTGATCACAAATAATAGCTAAAAACGCCGAAAAGTCAATATTTAAGGAGTTATGGGCATTTTAAAATATGTAATAATTCATGCCCAAAAAGTAATCACAAATAATAGCTAAAAACGCCGAAAAGTCAATATTTAAGAAGTTATGGCCATTTTAAAGTATTGAATAATTCATGCTTAAAAAAGTGATCACAAATAATAGATAAAAACGCCGAAAAGTCAATATTTAAGGAGTTATGGCAATTTTAAAATATGTAATAATTCATGACCAAAAAAGTGATTACAAATGATAGCTAAAAACGCCGAAAAGTAAATATTTAAGGAGTTATGGCCATTCTAAAATATGTAATAATTCATGCCAAAAAAAGTGATCACAAATGATAGCTAAAAACGCCGAAAAGTCAATATTTAAGAAGTTATGGCCATTTTAAAGTATTGAATAATTCATGCTTAAAAAAGTGATCACAAATAATAGCTAAAAACGCCGAAAAGTCAATATTTAAGGAGTTATGGCAATTTTAAAATATGTAATAATTCATGACCAAAAAAGTGATTACAAATGATAGCTAAAAACGCCGAAAAGTCAATATTTAAGGAGTTATGGCCATTTTAAAATATGTAATAATTCATGCCAAAAAAAGTGATCACAAATAATAGCTAAAACGCCGAAAAGTCAATATTTAGGGAGTTGTGGCCATTTTAAAATATGTAATTGTAATTGTAAATAGTTAAAAACGCCGAAAAGTCAATATTTAAGAAGTTATGGCCTTTTTAAAATATGTAATAATTCATGCCCAAAACAGTGATCACAAATAATAACTGAAAACGCCGAAAAGTCAATATTTAAGGAGTTATGGCCATTTTAAAGTATTGAATAATTCATGCTTAAAAAAGTGATCACAAATAATAACTAAAAACGCCGAAAAGTCAATATTTAAGGAGTTATGGCCATTTTAAAATATGTAATAATTCATGCCCAAAAAAGTGAACACAAATAATAGCTAAAAACGCCGAAAAGTCAATATTTAAGGAGTTATGGCCATTTTAAAGTATTGAATAATTTATGCTTAAAAAAGTGATCACAAATAATAACTAAAAACGCCGAAAAGTCAATATTTAAGGAGTTATGGCCATTTTAAAATATGTAATAATTCATGCCAAAAAAAGTGATCACAAATGATAGCTAAAAACGCCGAAAAGTCAATATTTAAGAAGTTATGGCCATTTTAAAGTATTGAATAATTCATGCTTAAAAAATTGATCACAAATAATAGCCAAAAACGCCGAAAAGTCAATATTTAAGGAGTTATGGCCATTTTAAAATATGTAATAATTCATGCCAAAAAAGGTGATCACAAATAATAGCTAGAAACGCCGAAAAGTCAATATTTAGGGAGTTGTGGCCATTTTAAAATATGTAATTGTAATTGTAAATAGTTAAAAACGCCGAAAAGTCAATATTTAAGAAGTTATGGCCTTTTTAAAATATGTAATAATTCATGCCCAAAACAGTGATCACAAATGATAGCTTAAAACGCCGAAAAGTCAATATTTAAGAAGTTATGGCCATTTTAAAGTATTGAATAATTCATGCCTAAAAAAGTGATCACAAATAATAACTAAAAACGCCGAAAAGTCAATATTTAAGGAGTTATGGCCATTTTAAAATATGTAATAATTCATGCCAAAAAAAGTGATCACAAATGATAGCTAAAAACGCCGAAAAGTCAATATTTAAGAAGTTATGGCCATTTTAAAATATGTAATAATTCATGCCCAAAAAGTAATCACAAATAATAGCTAAAAACGCCGAAAAGTCAATATTTAAGGAGTTATGGCCATTTTAAAACATGTAACAATTCATGCTTAAAAAAGTGATCACAAATAATAGCTAAAAACGACGAAAAGTCAATATTTAAGGAGTTATGGCCATTTTAAAGTATTGAATAATTCATGCTTACAAAAGTGATCACAAATGATAGCTAAAAACGCCGAAAAGTCAATATTTAAGAAGTTATGGCCATCTTAAAGTATTGAATAATTCATGCTCAAAAAAGTGATGACAAATAATAGCTAAAAACGCCGAAAAGTCAATATTTAAGGAGTTATGGCCATTTTAAAATATGTAATAATTCATGACCAAAAAAGTGATTACAAATGATAGCTAAAAACGCCGAAAAGTCAATATTTAAGGAGTTATGACCATTTTAAAATATGTAATAATTCATGCCAAAAAAAGTGATCACAAATAATAGCTAAAAACGCCGAAAAGTCAATATTTAGGGAGTTGTGGCCATTTTAAAATATGTAATTGTAATTGTAAATAGTTAAAAACGCCGAAAAGTCAATATTTAAGAAGTTATGGCCTTTTTAAAATATGTAATAATTCATGCCCAAAACAGTGATCACAAATAATAACTAAAAAGGCCGAAAAGTCAATATTTAAGGAGTTATGGCCATTTTCAAGTATTGAATAATTCATGCTTAAAAAAGTGATCACAAATAATAACTAAAAACGCCGAAAAGTCAATATTTAAGGAGTTATGGCCATTTTAAAATATGTAATAATTCATGCCCAAAAAAGTGATCACAAATA